CCTTGTACACAGAAAAAATACGTGGCAGGCAATATAATCACAGCATACAGGTTTGGTCGACTGCGGTTACTGCTGGGTGCCCCTGGGCAGCCAGCAGTAACCGCAGACCTGGATGTGTAAAGATTAGCAGATTGTGCTCTGCGAAAGAAAATCGAGACATAGGAGTGAGAGTGATTTGTCTGCATCACTTTCAAAAACTTTCTCCCCAATACCCTGTAAGACTAATGCGTAAAAAAGAGAGAGAGAGAGAGATATTCCTGTTGAAAAATTTAAATCCAATGCCCTGTAACGAGAGCAAATACACACAGCAGATGGAGGTTGGGACTAAATTAAGAAACTTTGAAAACGTCAATATCACACATCATAAATACTCATCCACTGCCTAAGAAGAAAAGATCACATACTTTTTATATCTGAGAATTTTATATTTAAATTTTATATATATATTTTATGAAAAGATCGATCACAATCAGTCATTTGCTCCTCTACTAAACGGTTGAAAGCCACCCAGGTCTGCCTGTTCATAACCAACTCATCAGGTCAGGTCTATCACTACTCTACAGCACAGGAGCTGCATGAGCTCGTCCGTCCCGAATGACGACCTCCAGCCAACTGAGCTGGTAAATGAATGCCAGCCACCCACACTGTGACGTCATCAGTAGTACGTCGATCAATAACTCGCTCAACAGCGCTGCTACGATGGATACCAGTGATGGAGAGCTTAAATAATCTTTAATTAATGAAGCAACATTTTGGTAGCTTTGTGAGGTCAGATAAACCTCTGTTGATGGTTTAATTTTCACCTATTTTATATTGATTCAATGTAACAATATTATGTTATATTAATGGGCTCAAAATTCTCTTGAATATAAACATCACCTAATCTTTCCAAGTTAATGTTTTGTTATAAATGTCAATATAAGCAACGCAGATACCAATGATGGGGCCGCTCATGTTGACTTCCAGTCTCCAACACTTTCCTCTAAACAACAAATGTTATCACAGTTTGTGTGACAAAGTTGAACGATCTAAGATAATTATTCGGTATTGTGTAATAGTTCGAGAGCAGCCACCAGAAGAGAGGCTCAGATTATGGCCATGATACTGCAGCTGGAGACAGGAGCGTCCGCCACGCACAGCAGCTGGACCCGGACTGAGCTGATTACTGACTCCCAGCCACCCACCCTATGACGTCATCTCCCCTGCACTAACACCAGCCTCGCTGATGTACAGAAAGATTTTTGTTTTATTCTTGTCAATATTATTATATTCATGGGGAACCATCAACAGAGGGTTCCTGCCTATGGTTGTGCAGGTAACTAAAGATGACGTTCTAGTATTTGGATTGTAAACTTAACACTCAACGTAATTGATCGCGATATTTCGACGTAGAAGATAAATTTAACTAGTAACTTGTAATATTCTAGCCTCTTTGAGCTCTACAGCCTACAGGAGTACCTCCTTGCATGGTGAGGAAAGTCACAGCTTGATGTGTGGGCACCAGGAGAATGTTGCACCCAGAAACTGTCACATACTCTATTTTGCGTATAGCACAATAATGTCTTCCAGTATTCGCAGGTGTATGAAATAATACCAAAGCTCAAACTATTTAGTCTGAAGTCATTGATAACAGGCATTCATAGATATGATGTTGGAGAGTGTGCACTGAAGTGGGGTTTAACATGTTTACTGTGTAAGTTACTTTTAGCAACTGTAAAGTTACCGACGTGATATGAACCAACATTTGGAAATTGTAAATAACCAGAGAGTTTTATTCATGCTTTCTGTTTATTGTACATGGTACCTGCAGGCACGGGACATCAATGTCATTAGCATGGCAATGCAACATTAGATAAAATTATATTTTATACTGAAGAACCCAGCTGATAAGTCTGCCACTCTCACCACCTTATAAACCCGGATATCATAATTTATATAAATAAAAATGGAAATGTTCGTTTGTGCATAACCGATAATCTCCGAAAGTTCTTCACCGATTGCTTTGAAATTTTCACACAACGTTCCATTCGCATCCGAGCAGGTTTTTATATACATTCTATATAGATGTCACGTCTGTGACGGTAAAAAAACAATGTTTTTTTTAGAAAAACTGTGTTTTTCAAGTATTCACCTAGTTGTGCTTGCCGGGGATGAGCTCTGCTCTTTCGCCCCGCCTCTCAACTGTCAATCAACTATTTCTACTACTACTTTTTTTCCCACACCCAACACACTCCAGGAAGCAGCCCGTGACAGCTGACTACCTCCCGGGTACCTATTTACTGCTAGGTAAGAGGGGCAGAGGGTGAAAGAAACTCTGCCCATCATTTCTCGTAGGCGCCCAGGATCGAACCCGGGACCACAGGAACATGTGTCATCTTGCTGTCAGGTCGGCTGGCCGGCTCCCAATGTGTTTTCAGGTGAGGGAAATCTTCGAAACCTCTTTATCGATTGATTTGAAATGTTGACACAACGTTGCATTCGGATAGGCGAGTCTTTTTATATATCTACTATATACATGCCACCCCTATGCAAGGAAAAAAACATTTTTTGTTTTTTTTAACAGCGCCATCTGTTGGACGTAAGAGCAAAACACGCTGTAATCTCCGAAAGTTCTTCACCGATTGCTTTGAAATTTTGACACAACGTTTCATTCAAATAAGCGTGTCTTTTGATATACCTACTATATAAATGCCACCCCCCCCCCCCCCTGTGACAGGTAAAATCATGCGTTTTTGAAAAACAGCGCCATCTGTTGCACATAATAGCAACATGCACTCTTTACTAAATATATCACGAATTCCATTTCAATGTTTCCGATTGCATTGAAATTTTTTTTAGGATTTCGATTTATTTAATTTTTTATTGAATTATTTTGTGTGACATTGTGTTGGAATTGAGCTGTGTTTTTACCATACTGTTCATTTCGTAAGTATAAGTATAGATGCCACACCTGTGACAGGTAAAACTATGCTTTTCTTGAAAAACAGCGCCATTTGTTGCATGTAGGAGCAACACACATGCTATCCTAAATATATTACAAATCCATTTCAATGTTTCTGATTGCATTGATAAATTGAATTTTCATAGATTTTGATTTATTTTCATTTTGATTTAATTATTTTGTGTGTATATCATTGGAATTGAGCTGCGTTGTTTACCATACCGTTCATATCGTGAATATAGTTTATTTTTATATATTTTCATTTAATTTTTTAACTGTTTTTCTTAAATTTCAGTGATGGGAACATCAGATTACTTGATGTTCCCAATTTTGCGATGGGAACATCAGACTATTTGGGAAGCCATCGGACGAGGGAGTTGGGAATGGTGGGGATAACGAGGGGACGGAAGTGAGAGATTGTAGGGAGGACGAGGGGACAAGGGAGGGGGGTAATGGTGGGGAAGTACGAGGGGACAAGGGAGTTTGGGATGGTGGGAACGAGGGGATGGGGGAATGGAGAATGGTGGGGAGGACAAGGGGACAGGGGAGTTGGGGATGGTGGGTAGGACAAGGGAATGGGGAGTGGAAAATGGTAGGGAGGACGAGGGGACGAAGGAGTGGGAGATGATGGGGAGGATGAGGGGACAGTGGAGTGGGGAATGGTTAGGAGGACGAAGAGACGTTGGAATAGGGGATGGTGGGGAGGACGAAGTGACGGTGGAGGAGGGAATGGGTGGGAGGACGAGGGGACGGGAGAGTGGGGAAGGGATGGGAGGATTAGGGGGATGGGGGAGTGAGGAATAGTTGGGAGGACGAAGGGGCGGGGAATGGTGGGGGAGCACTGGGAAACAGGGGGAAGGTTGCTGTAGCTCAACAACGCATGTGCGTTGCTGAGCCACAGCAACACGTGGCCGGGTACAGCCAGTAATAATAATAATAGCAATTGTTATCTATTAAACGAAGATACAATATAAAAATGCTACAGAGTTTGTGTATAACACAATTGTCGTACTTTGTAGAACAATGTGAGTATAATTTACTCAACTTATTTATGGTTAAATAAACCAATAAAAGGCAATCCGATTAAATCTACCATTTATTGGTAGATTTTATTCAGTATAAATAATGAAATATGTAAAACTAATCAAGATAAATGTAACCATTTATAAAAAGACATCATAGACTGGCTTGCTTTCGTAGCTGTAACTCCAACCTAATGACTTGTGGTTATAGTTCTCGCATTCTTCCTCAGGATTTATTAGTCATATTTGTAATTGTAGCACTGTATTGACATTTATGGCTTAAGTGGGTAGCGTAAAGTATTAAATTAGTCTATTACCCCCTGTGACTTGAAAATCATCTATGTATATCAGTATTTGACTTATTGCTTTGGCTCGAGGATTGGTTGCAATATTCAGGCTGTTGATGGTAACTGAGACAAATATAATTCTCAAAATTTTATTTGCGATAACACATTGTAGATCCTATACAACTTTATTAGAATATAGTGTGACTTGTCTTAACTGTCGTCTGCATATAAATGCTTCAACTATATGATGCCCTTGACATGGCTCACCTTCGCTGTGTCCCAGGGCAGCAGCCTCAGTTGGTGCTGTGATGCACTCGACAGATCTCCAACCCGTTCTCGCACTTTTTTACAGTCAATATTGACTTATTAAATAAGTGCATATGTGACATGCTACTTTTTGTGAATATTTTAATTTACCTTGAAAAGTTTCATAGAAAACACCGACTTTACCTAACCTTCTTAGTATGATAAGATAAGCATCTTATTGCTTCGTAATTACAGTTATTACTTAACCTATACCTATAATAGGTTAAGTAATAATTGTAATTAAGAAGCAATAAGATGTTTATCTTAACATACTAAGAAGGTTAGTTAAGGTCAGTGTTTTCTATAAAGCTTTTCAAGGTAAACTAAAATATTCACAATAAATTAGTATGTCACATATGCACGTATTTAATAAGTCAATATTGACTATACGAAAGTGCGAGAACGGTTTGCAGCTCATCTGCGCCGTCTTCCAGGGCAGTAGCTTCAGGAGATGGTGTGATGCACTCGACACAGCTCACCTTTGACGTCTTCCAGGGCAGCAGCTTCAGGCGGTGGTGTAATGCACTCGACACAGCTCTTCTTCGCAGCTTCCACCAGACGCTTCACACTCTCGCCAGTGTTCGTCTCCTCCTCAACAATGCTCTTGAACGTTGCATACTTTGTCGACGAGTCCAAAGATTGTGCAATTTCCTTTGCATGGTCAAGAAGTTTTTTGTAATCGCTTTTAGCTTCATCAAAAAAGCCTTTCGTTATGAACTTAGCATAACCCATATCAATTATGTGTATTATAAAATTACTTGAAGTTTCCTCTACAATTATGTTTTCAGTGTGTAGATCTTGGTGAACATAACCTTTCTTGTGGATCTCTTCAACAGCAGCACACAGTTTGATGAATGCTTGAAGGCAGTCGTGTGGAGTATTATTGTTTAAGTAACACTGAAGCGTGTCTCCAGGGCAATGAGACATCACCAGGCGGAATGGTTTTTCCTGGGTAATGCCAAATAACAGAGGGGCGCCCCCTGCCCCATTAATATCAAGCAGAACTTTGGCTTCATTTAAAATGTTATCATTGTTTGGAAAATGTAATTGTTTAATAATTACTGGAGTACATGTGCTCCCTTGGGCGAGAGTGCCAGTGTAAGTTAAGCCTTGGGCACCGTTCCCCAGCACATTCCCCTGGGTTAGGTCGTTTTCCTTCACTCGAGGAATGGTGTTAAGTTCCATTAACAGAGACGATTTGGATGACAAGATAGCTGAGCGCTTCTTCAGTTCCAAAGATTTACAGGGATTAGTTCCTTGTTCTCTTGAGGTACATTTCCGTTTTGAAACGTCAGATTTATGGAAAGAAAATTGAGAGAGCTTTCTTTTCATTACACCTTGCTGTTGTGCAGTATTTTGAGGGTAAAGGAGGTTGTCAACTATCTTCCCTTGAAGTGCATTTGACATGGACATCGTGAATGGCTGCTAAAGGGAATAAGGTAGAGTGGGCACTGAAACAAGACGTCCTTCGTTTTTCTCTGTCATCTTGTAAATGACTCGCAGCAATAGCAACACCTTATATATCCCCTCTCTCCATTCATAGAAACAAAACAATACATTTCAAATACCTAGATGAATAAGAAAGGCCGGCCTTAGGAAGTGTAGTCTTTATTTTTAGTGTTTTGTTGATTCTCCTGAATTTAAGATAATTTAAAATTGTGTATGAGTTGTATGTGATATTACGCTGTATGAAAAATATACCAAAATCTATGTCTTATATTTGGACGTAAACTATATTAAAGCAAAGTTGTACATATTATTTTGTCTCTCCTACATTTAGTACTCTAAGTTTAAGTTTTTTACTGCACCACATTCCATTGATAATATTGGAAGGCTGTTTTAGTCCTTCTAGGAGCATATTTGATCTCAAGTAAGATGATCAATTTTCATTAATATAAGTCACCAAACCCTGACGCAACTATGACTGAAATTGTAAAAAATGTGCATGGAGCAATAATAATAATAATAATGATAATAATAATAATGATAATAATAATAATGATAATAATAATAATGATAATAATAATAATAATAATTCACAAAGGTGTGATGTTTCAATGAAAATCGTTTTAAGGCAATGGAGGGACTTGAACCTGCATCATGGTGATTCCCAGACACCTGCCTTAACCTACTCGGCCACGATGGGCTAAAAAGTCAATAATTATTATAAGACACTTCTAATAATAATAATAATTATTATTATTATTATTATTATTATTATTATTATATTATTAATGCTAATAGTAATAATAAGAGTAACAATAACAATAATTATAATACTAAATAAAATTTCTAAATAAATCTAAATAAAATAAATAAACGTTTCATAAAAAAACTTACAAAAATATATCAGATATTTTATTTCAACAAAATAATATATATATACAAACATTTAAATACCATTTTAGTTTAACTAAAAAATTACTTATTAAAATACAGTTTATAGGATCACTATTTACAGAATGTTTTATAGATCTTCTATCCTTCAAAATTTGTCGACAAACAAATACACATTTTAATTTATGTATTTGTATTAAAAATTATTGTTGGTATTATTATTATGAAGTTTAATAATAATAATAATATTAATAATGAAAAAAAAAACGAATTAGCCGTGATGATTGTTCGAACCTATGCGGCGGGGGGGGGGGGGGTGATCCCAGGCACACGCTCTAGCAACTAGACCACAACATGGTAATAAGGTTAGCAGCCTGAAGTCCTACGGAATCCACAAAGATTATCTGAGGCTTCTACTGATGCCGGAACAGGATTTTCACACAATCCCCCTTGCACCCTGGCTCTGTCATCCAGGAATGTTTTACCTCAGACGCTTCTCTTGAAGACGCTTCAAACTAACGTGACTGCATCAGTATGTGTTTGTGTATGTTTGTGTGTGCAAGGGAACACCCACTGCATAAGTTTAAACCCTCATCACAGTACCTACGGATTTACTAATTGATCCAGTCACGTTATTGTGATTACTCTCTGTGTACTGGAAGAGGAGCGAAAAGAAAAAAAATTATGAGAAGAATTAAGACAGATGAAGATTGACAGAGACTACAGGACGACCTGGACAAACTGAAGTAATGGACAAGAAAATCACTACTAAAGTTGAACTCAGGAAAGTGTAAAGTAATGAAATTAGGTCAAGAGAGGAAGAAGCTGAACACAAGGTACCATCTGGAGTGGGGGGGGGGGAAATCCTGCAAGAGTCATATACAGAGAAAATATCACACACCAAACCTGTCCCCAGAAGCCCAAATCAAAAGGATATCATCAGCTGTATATGCTAGGTTGGCCAATATAAGACCTGCCTTTAGAAACTTGTGAAAGGAATCGTTCAGGACCTTCTATACCACTTATCTTAGACCAATCTTGGTGTTTGCAGCTCCAGCCTGGATTCCATACCTAGTTAAACACAAGAAAAAGTTACATAAGATCCGGAGGTATACCACCAGACTAGTCCCAGAACTGAGAGGTATGAGCAACGAGGGAAGGCTATAGGAGCTAACCCTCAGGTCCCTGGAAGACAGAGAGGTAAGGAGGGACATAATCGCCACCGACAAAATTTTCAAGGGAATTGACAGTGTGGACAAACTCAAACTATTTAGCACGGGTGGAACACGAACAAGGAGACACATGTGGAAATGTGTACCCAAATGAGCCACAGACACATTAAAAATATTTTTTTATTGTCAGAGTAGTTAACAAATAGAATGCATTAGGCAGTGAAGTGGTTATCTTGAGATAATTTCGGGGCTTAGCGTCCCCGCGGCCAGGTCCTCGACCAGGCCTCCTTTTTGTTACACACACCCCAAGAAGTAGCTGTCTAACTCCCAGGTACCTATTTACTGCTAGGTAAACAGGGACATAAGCTGGGAAAAACATTTTGCCAATTTGTCTCCGCGTCCACCGGGGACCAAACCCGGACCTCAGGACTACGAATCTGAAGCGCTGTCTACTCAGCTGTCGGGCGCCGACAGCTGAGTGGCAGACTCTGTGCATAATTTCAAATGTAGATTTGATAGAGCCAAATAGGCTCCGGAATTTGTTCACCAGTTGATTGACAGTTGAGAGGCAGGACCAAGGTGACAAAACTCCACCCTTGCAAGCACAACTAGGTGAGTACATATCACTGCCGGACTGGCAGTATGCAAACCTCTCTCCAATATTTATGAAATTCAGATTAATAAAACTATACAAACCTGTCAGTCTAACCTGTCATATATACCTGAATTTACCTAAAGGCCACAGTCTCGCTTTTGGCCTCGACGGCTACAGTTAAGCCAGAGTTGAACAAGCTTTGATTTATGTAGGTAACCCTTATAAATATCTATGTTAAGGGTTTAGAAATTGTTGCAGAGTATGTACATTTATAGTATGAATGAATTATTTAATAAGAGCACTATTGTGCAAAGCGTTTTGAGCATAACTTAAAATAATACAGTTAGATTGTTTATAGGTAAATATTCTAAATAATGAATGAAAGAAAGTCCTCTCATGGATGTCAACAGACAAGAGACCAAACGTGTATATTTCAGCACCCACATACAACACATAGCCAAAAAGTCTGAAAAACTGCCGGTATACGCTAAAGTCATTGTGTTCCCAATCTGCTCTCCTCTTATTATACTACTAGCTAATCTATCCTTAACACGCGGTATCTGTGCATAGGGATTAGCAACTGGAAATTACCACAAGCTAATCATCACGCAGCAAAAATCTGCCATAAGGACTATAACAAAATTTATCTTCTGACTGCACACAGCCCATCGGTTTATTCACTCCACTCATTCTCTTGTGATATTTACATGTACAAAAACTTGTTCCTAAGTGTTAATCCTGATCTGAAATTCTTCCTAGATATATGTAATAGAACCCATGAGCACCACACCAGAAATAAACATATCTTTGACATCCATGTCAGGCTAAATCTGTGCAAACACTCCATGCAAATAAATGGACCCACTGTATGGTGTGAGAGTATGGGTTTTAACACCTAAATCTTCTACTAGAGTGTGGTGTGCACGGACGCTGCCGTGCACCAAATACGTAAGTGAGCGTGCACTCGGTCTAGATTTGGTAACTCGTACAGAGACATCACGTGTTTAGGCTCGTTGGAGAGCCTAGGTCATCAGCATTCCAAACATGTTACAATGGCCATTGTAAGGCATTTGTGGAAAAAGTTAGAGCGTGTAGCATTTTATTACTGTAAGAGTGAGGGAGAAAGCGAAGAGAGATGGAGCTGGTGGTGAGCCATGAGGTACCTCTGTGGTGTTCCCATAGCAACAAAGACAGACGCCTTGGGAGGCCAATTTGCTCGCCAACCAAGGGGGAACTGTGATTGGCTACGGGTTTTAGGCCCTAGATGCGCGTCTTTGTGATTGCCTAGCTGAGGAAGGACCAGGAAATCAGCTTCCTGCCGCCCAAGATATCAACCCTGGAAACACAAACCGAAACTGTCTCTATTTTTCGCTTGTTACAACTTGTAATAAAGTTGTTACATCTTGGCTTAACGTGTTTATGACGTATTAGAACGTTGTTACAACTTGCTATATTGGTTGTTATAACTGGTTAGGTGTTAAAACTTGTTCGAACGTTGTACCAACGTCGTAGTTTCGGTGTGTATTTGGCGGGAAGACGCCATTCTGCACGTAGCTACTTCCTGTGTTATCCCTCCATAGAAAGTAGAGAGAGAGAGAGAGAGAGAGAGAGATACGAAGGAGAGAGAGAGAAGAAGGGAGAGAGAGTGAGAGGAAGAGAGAGAGAGGAGAGAGTGAGAGAGGGAGACAGAAGAGAGAGTAAGAGGGAGAGAGATGAGAGAGTAAGAGGGAGAGAGAGAGAGAAGAGTGTGAGAGGGAGAGAGAGAGGGGGAGAGAAAGCCTGTCCCAGACAAAATTGATTATATTAGCAGGAGACTGAGGAGCGCGGCCTCCACCATGCATGGCTGATGGACGCAGAGTGAGCGGATTAAAGGCTGCTCACTGCACACCCCATGACGTCACACGCCTCAGCTTATAACCAGCATAAGTCACAGCGAGGAACACTTATATTTGGCGTATTACAACCTCTGTTATAAAATTGCAGAATTTTAGGAAATTAGGGATGGGAAAAGAGCAGTCACTGACACTCAAAAGGCAGAAAACATAAGTATAGTTAATATATGTGTAGAATACTCAAAATTACATATACGGATATCTCAAAACTTTCACTAGACAGCGTGGCATTGTAATTGCCAGTATTAAGCTGGGATATCAATACCTATGCCAGGTGGCTACAGGCTATGAATCTCCTAACGGTGAGCTCTCATACTGTAAACTATGTCAACAGGAGCTGGAGGGTACACTCTCCAACACCATATCTATTTTCTTGAAGTAATATATTTTCTGTATTTTTTTTCTTATGAAATGATA